AAACCTGTGGAGGCGTCATCCACATAAAATACCAAGAAATGCCACAGCATCATGCCACAATTTCCACCCACCTTAAAAAACTCAACAAAAAAAATTTAAAATAAAAAAAAAAATAAACTTAAATGAGGCATCATCACCACACCGAAGTCTCATTTTAAAGTGCACTCAAAAAGGCGACAAAATGATACTTGAACAAAATGAATTACTCGTTTTTTGTTTTTTGTTGAAACACTTTTCCACATTGAGCTTTACACTTAAAATGTGTACACTTTTATTTACTTCAATTTGTTTATGTTTTTCGTTTCCCTCTTTCTCTATTTTCGACGCATTTGATTTGTTGTTGATGACGTCGGAAATACGAAAATAAATACGTTTACGCTAAAGCGATAAACAATCACAAATACGGACTTGGAAAAGTGAAATGCAATTGAATGATGAATTTCAATTTTATCCATAGACTAAATTTGGAATATTAAGGTTACGAAATACGATTTTATAACTGTTGTTTTTGATAAATAAATAAAATAAACCTTGGTTGAACCTTTAAAGGAGTTACCTAGTGTTTGGAAAGTGTTAACAATGAGGAAGTTGATTTTAAATTTGGGTTTCTAGTAACTTTAATGAATATCTTTATGTAGTATAATGATTACGTTTTAATATATCAAATAAACCAAATTAAAATGCTAGTGCTGCTAGTATTTACCCTTACATTAATTTTTTTATAGTTTATTTACACCTTTGGAACTATGAATTTGATTTCGATGACATAGAAACAAATATGTCTTCATTGAAAAGCTTTAAACATTTAGCAAATAAAGCCATAAAACCCAGGTAAGGAAAGTAAAACGTCGTAAATTATAAAATTAGTTGCATATTAAATAACCCATTGAACCAACCATTTTTAGTTAGTAATAAAAGTAGTTTGGTTTTATTTTCATCAAACCAAAAAAGTTCATGCTCTTTTAATGACTTTAATGGATTTTATTTCTTAATTTTAAAATCATTTTTTTAAGTGCAAACAGAACAGCTTAAAAGGGTTGTATAACAAGGTATACAAAATATAATTTTATAATACTCAAACGCTGATCGCCGGCACGCACATTATAGCAATTATATCGGCTGACCAACCGAATGACCAACCGGAAGTTGACTTTTATTTCTCTCTCTCTATTCTCTCTTTGTGATTTTGCACTCGCGCACATCGTTTAAGTTATTCGTGGAATTAAAAAAAAAAAAAATAAACTGGAAGAGGTGGGAGTATGGAGGGGCATATATCTAATGACTGCTCTTTCCGATTCTGTGATTATTCCGATTGTCTGTGTCAGGCTCCCCCTCACAATAAGCCTAAATGTTTATATATTTATGCATGACGCTTTTTAATATGTAGAGCAGGCTTTTTAAATGGGTCGCCTTTATGTCCATTATGGAGTAGGATTTCTCCCCTTTTGAGTGAAAACAGCTGCTGCTCTGATTTAGAGGGGAAAAATGGCTCCTAAATGGGGGAAATATGACAAATCATTGTCATATTATTAGGTGGGAAAACTAGGTTTATTCTTGTTTTTAAAGAAGGGGGAAGTTATTTGGGAATTTGAGAAATTAGCGGTGGCTTAAAAGGCTTTAAATAAAAAAAAAAACAGCAAATAAATAGGATAAATTATTAAATTACAAATACTCCTTTAATTTAAACTTTTCCTTAATAATATTTAATCAAAAAGTTGGGCTAACAAATAACTCATTTACACTTATCGTTTTCAATAAAAAACCCAAAAACTTTTCTTTTTACAATGCCAAAGTTTCAAAACTTTGCAAATTTCTTATCAAAATGAACCAAACTTTTCACATAAAATGACTTTCATTCTGAGTTGGCAAAAAAAAATTGACAGAAATTCATTTCTTCACATTAAATGCCAAATCAAGTTGATTTTAAGCAAACCAAAGTTTACTTAGAAATTGAATTCTTCAACATTTGATGACTCAAGTTGTGTGTGTAACATTTACGTAATGATTTAAATACCATTTTGTAATCAACAAAGATATCTTAATGACTCAATTTGAAGTCCGCTGACTTATTTATATTTATATTTCTAAATATTATGTAAGAGAGACTCAAAAACCACAGAAATTCGCACTCTATATATATTTTTTCAGCGGGTTTTGGTTCAAGGTTGCGTATTGGATTACTGCCATGTGTTCGACATATGTTTTGCCCCTCTATCTGCTGCATGTAATAATTGTTATCTCTTGTGGAAAACCACAACTCCTCTAATTTAATATGATTTCCAAAAGCCCGTGTTCATGAAATTTCCGATGGGCTTTTTGGTGGCCCACAAACCCGATAACTTTTATCTCTGGCTGCCAGCACCCACACGATGTTGTTGATATATACTTTTTCTGTTCGCATTGTTGTTTCCTTTGTGTTCAGGTGAGGCATCATTATTGTGATTGTGATTATCATTATTATCATTGTTGCTATTGCTGCTGCACTGAATGGTGGCTTTTTCTATTATTATTATTTGCGGCCCTTTGTTGACCTTGTTGCTATAGTTTGTTTGTTAGTTTATTACACACATATAGACACAATGGGGCGCCTTTCATTCTTATCTAAGTCTGGGCCAATATTTGACAAAAGCGTCACTAGCAAGTGGCCATAAATCGGATTGAAAAGCCTATTACAGATGGGGAAAAATTGGGCTAAAGATTTCTTTCGTCTCGGTTTTAAACAGAAAGAAATAATTTGATCTTAAAATTACTTATTTGAGGCACAAAAATATATAAATATAAAGTAGGAAGTAGAGGCAAAAATAAAAACAGCAATAAAGAACTTTAAATAATCAATCCTCTCTGCTTTTTTAAGCTCAGTTCGATACCCCAGGGTTTAACTTAAAGAGAACAAGACATAAAGGCAGCAAAAATAAAAGAAAAATAGTTGATTTTTCCTCTCTGGCCGTTTTCACTCTATTTATAGCAACCCGACTTTGAGGAGGAAGAGGTGAAAAAGAACATGAAGTTTTTAGCCATTTTTGCCAGCTTTTGGCGCCCGGCCAACTGTATATATAAGTATATATTATTTGGGAATCACCTACTCCACAACCAGTTTTTTGGTTGTTTCTTTTTTCGCCTTGGCAACCAGTTTTCCAGCCCCAAAGCCACCCACCCACTCATGGCAGTCGAATAAAAACTGCAATGAAAATGAAATGCAGCCCGCAAATTGAGCGCATTTTAAATACCTCTGGTTAAGTTGGTTTTTAATGGAAGGGAAGGTTGCTTGCTGCTGCTGCTGCAGTCACCAAAGGGTTAAATGCCCCTCGAGGTCGCTTTTGTTGGTTGGTTGGGGTTTGTTTTATTCGGTCTCTGGTCCCATTTAAGTGGGTCACAACAAAGGAAATGAGCTCATTGGTATACATTTTCCAGTTCATTTGCGTTGATTAAAGCTTTTTTTTTCGGCCTGACATTTTGTGTGTTTGTCTGACGCCCCTTTCTACATATTTTCCCACAACTCTTGGGCTGTCTCTTTCCGTCTGAAATCCAATTAATAATTTGCACACACACACACGGCTGCGAATAAGAAGAATACCCCCCAAAACCTCTTTGTGTTTTGTCACTAAAAACAGGCTAGTTTTGAAGGTACTCAATAAATATTGCTCACAAAATATTATTATAAAAATGTAGACCTATTTACTATCATAACTACCATTCTTTAAATGCAAATATATTACAGTTTTAACATTTTAAATAAAAAAAACTTCAATATTAATTAAGAGCTATTTTAATAACCGATTATGCATTATATTTACCCTTTGTACTAAGCATACCTTCATTTATTTCTGTGTAAAAAAAAACCGTAGACTGGGTGAGTAATTCTTCACCAAAGAGAGGCAAAGAAAGAAAAACCGCGTGTGAAGAGTAGCAGCGGCAAAACTTGGTTAATGACGTCAGTGGAGCGATGATAATGAAAGAGGTCCGCCACATCGGATCGGATCGGATCATATGTATGCGGGCACGTGCGTGACTCAGACCGCAAAAGAGCCCCACAGAGAAATAACAGAGAGAGAGAGAGAGAGGAAGATATTGATAGAGCCCGAAAATGTACATTGGAGAAACTAGAAAATGGGTTTAAGGTTTATGTTTGCCAGTGACACTCATATTCACAGCAGTTAATCTTATCTTCAGCGCCAGCTATTTAAAGCCTATTTAGTTTATTGTGGTAACCCTAAGACTTGGATTCTTAGAATTTGTATTACTGTGTAAAATATGAACTTTAAAGGCGTTTAAAAAATCATTCACCGTTTATCAATGGCTTTTATGAGTAATAATTTATGCATGTCTACATATAAAATTTTAAATATATTAATTAATTTTCATGTTTTGAGTTTCTCAGGGAACCCTGTAAACTCTACTTGAGAGCATCGTAAATGTTTGCAACAAGATAACAACCAGCTCTCTGCTCTCAAACTGCCAAAGGTTAAATACTCAATTTGTTGCTCGTTTATTGTTTCTGCTTTTGTTTTTGTTGCTCTCGATTTCCCGGCAATTGTTGTTATTTTTAGCAAGCTGTTGAAATTATCAGTTTCCAACGCTTTTAAGAAATAAATAAAATATTTATAGTTGGGCTTAATAGATAGAATAGAGTTGAATACAGGATATTATAGGACTTTATATGAAAATTATAATGATATGTTAATAAAATTTATATAACGATTAAAGTAAGCCTTCTTTAAGAGCACAATCTACTTTTTTTCAGACTAATCATAAAGTTATTATTATAAAATAAGCAATAAAATTGCTAGAATTTACTTTAATCTTTTTTTTATTAAATAAAATATAAGAAATAATATAAAAACGCTTTGTGTAACTTAAACACCTCTATAAATTCAATTTGTCACATATAAGATAGTTGTTTTAAACTATAGAATTAATTATTAAATGCCTAATAACCGGTTAGTTAGACTGCGGTTAATCCCAACGTAATGACGCACAGGGTAGAAACGAGAGACACTCACCCGATAGATCTGTATCTCCTCCAAAACCACCTCCGATTCGCGGAGAACGCGCTCCACCTCTTCGTAGATCTCGCGCTCCGTATCCGTGGGCGCGGCGTTCTCAAAGTCCAGGAAGACATCGTAGGATTTGGCCGCGCAACAATTGGAGTCGTCGCGTGACAGCAGGCTCAGCAGCTTTCCCATTTTCCTTGATTAACTTATGGTTTATTGTGTGGTATTATATATTCTCCTTCTCGGTTATTAATTAGCACTTTTTCGATATTTTTCTTTCTTGTAGCACTGCGAGGGGTTGGATAAAGAAAAATATGAGGCGTGGTAACGCATTAGCAGCTGTTGCACCTGTTGTCACATAAGGGGGCTTAATCAATTTTTAGTTTGGTTCCCAAAAAGCAGCTGCAAAAGTTGCTAGGGTCTGTATTAAGGTGGGGAAGCTGCATTCACAGGAACTTGTTTTATCTTCAAAGGACAATGGAGAAAAGCGAAGATCTTAGGGGTGGGAAAAGCGGTGAAAACAATAACAAAGGCCTGACAAATATTTCCGCCCTTGTGGAAATAATACAACAGATGGTTTTGGATAAAGGAAAATCAAGTATTTTCCGAAATTGAATATTTAGGCAACATTATCTTTGAATAATTCATGAATTAAAACTTAGTTCATGGAAAAAATAAATTATTTTTATTTAAAAATCTTTTCATACAAATTTAATAATTTATTTGTCTTTTTTTTCTTTTATTTATCTTTTAGCGAAAAAATGAACTGTTAATGTGTTTGTTGTAACTCCTAAGATAAGAAACTAAAGAAAACACACAAATCAAAGAGGATATTCCAGGAAATATCTAAAAACAGCTCATTGTGCGATTTTCCACGCTTGTTCTCCTATTATCCAATATTTACTGTATTATTTTCGGCTCTCCTCCGCAGGGAATCAGAAATTGCACTGCGGGGGGTGAAGAGCGGCATGGAAAAGGAGCAGGAGAACAGTGGCGAAGAAAAGAGCAGAACAGAGCCTGTCTCACTCGCTCGCGCAATCCCCCTGCCATTTTTTGAGAACGTGTGTGTGTGTGTGTGCGTTTCGCAGGAAATCGAAACCGAAACTTATCGAAATTGGTAAACAAAAACAGCAAAAAAAAAAAGATGGAAAACGGAAAACAACCTAGCCAATTTTCACACATCGTGCTAAGTAGGAAAAGGCAATTCTCCATTTTCCTGCTGACCGAGCGAGCACATGTAAACATTTTTGGAGGCCACCGCACCCCTGCCGCCCGCGGAAAACACATTGCAAAAAATGAAAAAAACGGCATTAAGAATTGTTGCTTTGTGTGTGTATGGCTTTTGTTTATCTGGTTTTTTTCGTTATCTGTCACTCCGTTTCTCGCTCTCTGCACCTCCTCCTTCGTCAGTTTGCGCGCTTATCTGCACTTTTTTATAATTTATACATTTCCCAACGACGAGCCGAAGGGTTCGTCTGCATTGGAATTTCTTTCTTCACTTCTCGCACCACGCTTATCACCTTTTCCCTTTCTTCCTTTTTTGTTGGTGCGCTTTTAAGGATTTTTTAATAATTTTAAGGGGTTGTAAACATTGTTGGCACCTCGCGGGGGTTAAATGCTTATGTGTTGTTGTAAAATCACAAATCACACGGACGCGAACCGACTCGACGCGACGATAACAAAACACAACAAAAATGTAAAAATGACAACAGAGTGCTGCTAGAGGCGGGAAAAGACCGATAGGGGCTATCGATACCTAGGTATTCCGGGCCCATATCGATAGTTGGCAGCCATATGCGATGTTTTATTAAAAGTTAAAAATATTTAATTAAAATACCGTTTTCTTTAAAGACTTATGCTTATCTTTTCAAGTTATATGGTAATCAGCTCATAGCCCTTTAATTTTAAATTATAAATTCAATAGTACATGCTTCAATTGCATAATTTTAATATATATCTCTTATATGACAAGTTTATTAAAAATAATACTTTTATTTAAAATATAATACATAAATTAAGCAATAATTCGTTAGAATTCTTTAATATCGCATTGCGTGCACTCAGAAGTTGTGCTATCGATACTATCGTGGGCAGTCCTCCCATCTCTACCGTGCACGCCGAAAAACAGTTGGACTTGTTCTTTATTTTCCATTTTCCGGCCAGAAAAGCCTTTTAACGCAGCCCCGTGAAAGCAATCCAGACCAAAATGACCGAGGAGAACAAGAACTCGCAGCTGGACGAGGTGCAGCGGCAGCTGCTGGATCGCCTGGCCAAATCCGACACCAGCGGATTCAAGCAGCTTCTTGTGGGCTGCCGCAATGTCAACTTCGTGGACGACAACGGGATGTCATGCCTTGCGCACGCCAGTTTCAAGGGAAACCGCGAGGCAGTGCAGCTGCTCCTGGACATGGTATGTACTCCTTACCCATTAACCCAGAGATTCTTAATATCTTAGTTTTCCTCCCACAGGGCGCCGACATTAACCTGAACCAGCACGGCGCCGACTACACGCCTTTGCACTTTGCCGCCTTGTCGGGCAACGCACACGTGTGCCGGCAGCTCTTGGACGCCGGCATCCGGCCGGGTGCCATAAACAGTGTCCAGCGGACGGCCGCCCAAATGGCCGCCTTTGTGGGAAACTTTGCCTGCGTGGAGACCATCAATAATTACGTGACCAGGTCGAGTTTGGAGTACTACACACAGCTGCATGGCCAGCAGACGGAGCCCCAGATACCACCCAGTTTGCTGCAATCCTTTCACGCCTTTGTCACCGATATCAACCTCCATCCCGTGCGCATTGCCCTGAATGTCCAGTCTCTGGGACTTCTCAGGATCCTTGGCAACCTCCGCAAGACTTTGGCTTTGATGTGCGAAAAGGAAATGCAAAAGTCGCACGATATCAACGAACTGCTCGCCTTCAAGTTTCACTATCAGGGCTGGATTCTGGCCGAGCTGATACGCTGCGAGGAGCAGTTCAAGGCCCAGCACAAGGAGACGGGGGAGGCCAATAAGAGCGACTTCCTGGAGATGTTCGTGAAGCGGGTGCTCAAGGAGAACAAGCTGGGCCAGCTGGACTATGTGGAGTATACGCTGAGGGAGTGCGCCCGTGAGTTCCCGGTGCGCGAATGCACTATCTTCCGGCAGATAGCCTTGCAGCTGGGCTCCAAGGATGCACCGCCAGCACTGACTATCCTACGCAATGCCATCAATGGAATGAGGGGATTTGTGGTGGGTTTTTCCATCTAATTATTGGGTAGACAAACTAATTGCTTCTCTTCCAGGACGAGGCCAGCTACTGCAGCACCTGCGGCGCTGAAAAGCCGGACAAAAAGTGCTCCAAGTGCAAGGCGGTGCAGTATTGTGACCGCGAGTGCCAACGTCTTCACTGGTTTATGCACAAGAAGAGCTGCGCCCGCCTGCTGGCCCAGTCACAGTTCCAGAGCCAGCCCCAGGCCAAGGGAGCCATCGACACTGCCGAGCTGCGCGAGGAGCTGGCCAAGCTGACGGCGTAATAAACCAGTGCTTCTTTTGTACCGCCACAAATAAATGTAAAATAAATCAGCAGCAACAGCGATGCATTTTCATGTACTACTAAACTATACTTAGTAACTGCTACCAACTTCTAAACAAAACTGCCCAAAAATTATACGAGTTTAAAATGGGTGTTTATCCTTAAAAATAAAAAGATAATGGTAAAAACATAATAAAAGCCTATTTTTATTTAGCTCTTATAAACAAATTTAATTTGTTTTTTTTTACTATTTAGAAAAAATTTAAATTTAATATTCATATAAACCATTTTTTTTATAATATTTTTCAAATGTTCTAAAAATACTAATATTTATCATTTATGTCTTTATTGAAATGTGTTAGTATTTATTTATTTAAATTTAAAACGCGATAAGTATCGTTAGTATTCGAAATTGTGTTATCGGTTTTCGAACTCGAAATTCGAACAGCTGACGACAACTGTGAGAGCAAACTTATTATATTTAGTTTCTCGCTAAACTTTGTTAAAGATCGTTTAAAGATGGTGAAAATCTGGTTTATGGACAACGAGCAAACGGATCAGCGTTTGGAGCATCACCGCTCACCTCCAGAGTACCTGGAATTGGCTGATCTCTACAAGAAAACCGGCGTGGAGTACTTCAAAGCAAGTGGAATAATTCGAAACTACGTCGTTAAACTTTTGACCTTGGCTTATCAAGCGAGCTTATCTTGATCACTCACTTTTGCTTTTTTGCAGATCAATGCGGACGCGTACCAGAGCGACGAGGTTCTAACACAACTGAGGGCGAAACGGGGCTATACCTATGATGATGAGGCAAGATCGGTTATGATAGAGAACTTATGACCCCTATTCTAACTTCTAAACACGATGCCTTATAGATTACCTGCTCGGAAAAGTGTCTGCCCGACTATGCAAACAAGCTGAAGGCTTTTTTCACCGAACACCTGCACACGGATGAGGAAATACGTTTGGTCTTGGATGGATCCGGTTACTTTGATGTTAGAGAGTAAGTTCTGGCCCTCCAAATAATTATTTAAGTTTATTAAAATCTTTAAGTTAAAAGAAATTAATTTAATTTTATAGTAACGAGGAGAACTGGCTTCGCATACAGGTGGTTAAAGGAGATCTGATTATCATTCCCGCTGGTATCTATCATCGTTTTACTTTGGATTCAAACGTAAGCTGGCCCTTTTGTTTATATAGTTGTAACTACTTTTAATTTAATATTTTTCTTACTATTTAGAACTTTATCAAAGCCCGGCGCTATTTTGTTGGGGAACCTGTCTGGACGCCACACAACCGTCCTGCCGATGATATGGATTGTCGGAAATCCTATATCAAACATCAGGCCGAACATTTTGTGCAATTTAATAAGGTTTAATACCTATTTTAATATATTTTGTATATTATATTAAATAAATTTCTTTTTATTAATATGGTATAAATATATACAACTAGTAAACAAAAAGCTCCATAAATAATACATATACATGTAAACCGCAATAAAAAATATAAACAAAAATCTGCAAATATTCTCCCAGCGCAGTTATGAGTTTGTTTGTTATGGTCACTTTGTGTGATATAGCTAAACATATCGGCGATATATTTGGAAATTCTAACATTTTGTTGTATGGAAAGTACACAATGCTTATTCCTGGCTATTAAAGAAATTTTTGTTATATTATCAAGTCAATAAAATTTGCCAACAATAAATGTTTTAAGTAATATAATTAAAATTAGCCAAGTCTTTCAAAAGTGTCAGCACTGTCCACAACGGTCACACTGCAAATGCAAGACAAACAAAAACAATCGAATGCTCTCCTCCGGCATTCTCTCTCATTCGTTTTCTCTCTCTCGGATCGTACGGACGTGCTTCGCGCCTGTATAAGTGTGCGTCTAAGTGCCGAGCGGTGAAAATTACAATTAATTTTCGAGACTTCGAGTGATTGTATCTTGATACGAAGATTCGAGAGTCCAATCGCGCGATACAGTTCGTTATCTATTTACAAAACAAATCCTGGAATAAGAAGTAATGCCGCAGCCGCACACGAGTGAATTACAATAAGCTGCGTGTGTGTGTGTATGTCTGTGCGTGTATGTGTGTGTCCCTCTCTCTATCCGTTGGACACACTCTCGCTTTAAAATTGTAAACAAATTCCGTTTAAAGTTGAGAAAAAAGCAAAAATAAAGAAGTTCACAAGCCGTGCAATATACAAAAATAAAGGAGTATATTTACAATCAAGTTTTTGGTGCGTGGAAAACAAAATCGTTTGGAAAGCCGCCGATAGCAGCGGCGTCGACGTCAGCAGAGCGCGCGGTGCAAGTGTATTGGTGTGACGCACATACAGGCGATAAATAAGCGTACACATATATATAATAAATATATATACGAAAGCATAAGTGCATGTGTTGTATATAAATAAGCAAAGTATAATTAAGCGCAAATCGGAAAAGTGAAATCGAAATAGTTTATTTCTTGTGCATGCGATATTCGGAAAATCGACAAGGAGTTTGCAGCAGCAGAAGCAGCACCGCAGTGGCAGAGGCGCCGATTAACGGATTTCCATACTTTTTTGCTCTCCACGCGGGTAAGTTTTTTATCTCCATCTCGTTTCGCTCATCTTCTTCATATTCGCGTTACTGTTGATGTTGTTGCCCCAAAACAGTGCTAAAATTTTCATTACGCCAAATGAAAAAAAAAGCAAAACTCAATATGTATGCGAGAGCAGCTCCATCTCTATCTCCATCTCTTTCCTCCCGTCTCGTCGCCCTCTCCATCTCATTCCCTCGCCCTCCCTCACCCAGTCTCACTCACTATCCAATTTAACCTCAACCGGTCTGCTGCTGCGGCGTCTCGTATGCATGTCGTCCATCTGTGTATGTGTGTCCGCGTGTGCGTCTGTATGCACAGCGGGGAACAGTTGAATAGAAGCAAACATTACCTAGGAATGTATCTGCAAGTTGAACTTGAATTTGTTTTATTCTGTGAAATAGGAAATTATGAATTACCTACTAGACCAAAAGTTATTATTACAGAATAAAAAAAGTATCTGTAAAATTTAAAGTTTAAATTCAAACCCCTTCATAAATAATAATAACTGATCTTGCACAACATCAAAGTTATTTAAAGAAGTTTGTCAAAAATTCGATCGATTAAACAAATAATTAGGAGAAATTTGTAGATTTAATATCTGGGATCTGTATTTTAAAAGAATGAATTTAATTTATTTATTTAAATTAAATGGATTGAAATACAAAAATGGCTGAGTCACTAAAAAGATTTTGTTGTTTGCTTAACAATTCTTAGTCCTAGTGCACCGGCCACGACTGTTTTGTATGCATATATTTGTGTGTTTGTGCGCGCTTGTCATTCGGCTCGTTAAAAATGCTCTGCCAGCGTCGCTGTCGCCGTCGCAGCCAGCGTTGGCGGCTTCTTCTTTAACTCTCGCGCATTATTTCGCAAAGCTCAAAAGCCTGCTGCTGCTGCTTGGTTTTTGTTGTTGTTGCTTTTCTTTCTTCTATATTGACAATTTTTACAGCCTTTATTTGTTGTTGTTGCTTTTGTTGTGACGCCATGCTTAGGCGCTTGTTTCAGCTGCTACTTTTTTTTCTTCTTCGAGTTCTCCTTGTTGGTTTGTCGGTTGACTGGGTTGCCACGGTTTTTGTTTTTCTTCTTTTTTTCGGAGGGGTTGTCGCGTTTGTTCCGTTATCTATACACACACACTTTGCTGTGGTTATGAATGAGTTGTGGCGGGTTTTAATATGCTAAGTGTGTTAATGAACTTTCCCTGCCCAAAAAAAAGTACGTTATTTCACTAATTACCTTTACGCACTTTTCGCGCTTTGCAACACTTGTTAATTTTTCGAGAATGACCCCACACAAACATACTCGCTCCAGGTACAGCTGCATATAAAGTAAACACTTGTTATAGCGAATCTGTAAAGAATTAAGGTGTTCAATAAGTAAAGTTCTTCAAGCCATTTCCATATCATCGCTTTAAGCTTACCGTGTCTTTCTTTACAAATTAACTTTAAGTTTCCGTTAACATTCGCGAGTCCCCTTTTTAAGGTTTCTACTGTATGTGTACTGCACTTGTTTAAGACCCGCAATGCTCGTTCTCTCTCTTACTCTCACCGGGGCGGCTCTCTTTTTTCGGTGGGGGGAGGGCCCCCACTCCCACTTCGTCTCCCTCACTATCTTTCTCTTCCCATTTTACGCATTTTGGCAAAGTTGCATGTTCCAAAATACAAGTACACTCACATGCATAAGCCACCTTGCTGACGACTATCTCGCTCTTTGCCTCTCGGTCTCTCTCTTTCTCGCCTGCACGCACTAAACCCGGCTCGTCGTTAGTTTAAAACTTATTTTGGCATTCTTTATGTGCGCTGCATTCTCGACGTCTCGTTTCGTTTCGTTTCGCCTCCTCTCAGCTCGTCTCCTCTCTACTCTTCTGTTCGCTCTCTTTTTTTGGTCTCGATTTCACGACCCAGACCCGCATTTCTAGCTGCCAAAGCTTATAGTTGTAGTTGTAGTTATTGTTAGTGTTGTTGTAATTGTGCCTCAGAGTTATTGAGCTTTGGTGTTGTTGTTGAATTGTTGAACGTTAGTTGGCGTATTTTTTAGAGTTGGACGAACTACTAGGAAAATGAGATTATTTTTTTTTATAATTTTGGTTATTATAATCCCAATATTACAAGTCAAATTACTAAGATTTTTAATCATTATCCATTTTGGTATTGAAGTCAAATTAATAAGAATTATAACTTATATCTTCGGACTTCCTCTTTGTTCAATGATTATCTAAAACAAAAATTATTTTAATCAATAATAGAATTTATTGCATGATTATGAAAATAGTTAAAATACTCCTTCACAAATTTTTGTTTGCATTAAATATATAAAATATATATTTATTTTTTTTTTTGAAATGATTTTAGTAAATAAAATATATAATACAATTCAGCTGGAACTAGAATGCCCGGTTCTAAATTTATCGCTACCTTTGTTGCTGTGTCAGCTCCACATAGGCACTTATACAGACATAAGTTTTACCTGCTTTTGCAGGTGAGTTTGTAGGTGTGTGTATCTGTGTTTTCGATAGCCGAAATTCTCTTTTCGTCTTTTCGTGCGTTTTTGTTTGTGCAAGTGGAGCAACAAAAAGTCGACAGCAGCGATATTGGCGTGTTGCATGCGTAAAAGCAGCGCATATGGTTGGGTCTCTCTCTCTCTCTCTCCTATAGCCATACCTCTTTTCTACTTCCCCTCTTATGTATCCCTTACCCTTCATAATTGTGTCTCTTTCCACTGTACTTTGTTATCGATATCCGTTTATATCCCAAATTTCAGCTTAAGTCAAGGGGTCAAAAGTTCACAAGGATCTTATGGTTTATCCGCAAACTTTTTGAATATAAAAATACATTAAGATACTTAAATTTAAACTTCAATCAAAGGTTATAAATTAATGGATCAAAAAGAATTTAGAGTTTTAAAATTAAGTTTAGCTAATTTGGCAAACATTTATAAACATTTGTACCCAAAACAAAATAATCTACACAGTGTAGGATATCCGATTTCTAGATGACAATTGGAATTGGAATGGTCTGTGAATCTGGGCGGTAATCCCTCCTGCCTTTCAGTGGAGGGGGAAGCATCTGGTGGGCTGTTTTTGCCAATTCCATGGGCTTTCCTCACATATTGCAGTTGTTTTCTATTTCGTTTGCTGCACAAATGCGAATTGTTGAAATCACACTTACATATAGTACTACACTCCCTTCCCCTTAACCCCCCCTTTTGTTCCACCCATGCAATCCTATGTACAGCTTACAAGCCGAAATGCAGTTTAAAGCGCAACTAAAACTAAACAGAGCATTCCACTCCAAGTGGGTGTCTCTGAAAAGGGGGAGGTGCTGTGCTGTGCTGTATATGTACACACTGTTTTCGTTTTGCCATGTATGGGTGGTGAGGAGGAGGAGCGGGGCGGTGTCGAGTGGGGTGAAGGAGAGTGAAGTGGATTTTATATCAAAAGTACAGTCGCTTATTGCTTTTGTTGCTGTTGCTGCTGCAGCTGTATTTCATAGTTGGTAGGTGTAGTATATATGCACATAGGTACATAAATTGCATGTTCATGCTTCAATAGTTGCATGCAGCAGCAGCAGCAGAGTCCGCAGCATTGTTGTTTTTGCACAGGGCGAGGGGGTTGGGGCAGAGATGGGTTGTAGCTCTGCAGTACCTACATAAGCCCAAGCCAATGCACCAAAACTAAACTCTCTGTTGACAACTAGGCACAATAAAACAAAAGCCCGATAGCAACAGCAAGCACAGACGATAAACAATGAATCAAAGTCGATGGCAGCATATTCAAGTGCGATATACTGATGGCGATAACAATAACATAAGATTTTGTAAATATCTAAGTTATCGATGAAACAAAAGGCG